GAGAAGAAGAGAGAGGAAAAAAGAGGAAGAGGGGAGAGAAGGAGGGGGGGAGAGGAGGGGGGGGAGGAGGGGGGGGGGGGGGGGGGGGCAAGAACACAACAATAGTGGCAATGATGAAATCGATGGAGGAAACAATAAGGATAATGAAGGAGAAAGGCAAATGGGAAAAGGGTGTATACATGGACGATCATCTGACAAAAAAATAAAGGGAGGGGAAGCAACACATAGGAAGGGTAGCCAGAGAAAGAATGGAAAAGGGCGAATATGTAAAGACAAGATACAAGAAACTAACAATAGAAAACAAATGGTACAGGTGGAACGAAAACGAAGAGAGGCTGGAGGAAGAAAGAAAGAGAGGGGAAGGAAAATGAAAAAAGAGGAAAAAGAGGGGGAACTACAATGGGGATGAAAACGTGCTTCTGAAATGTACAGGGCTAATAGAACAAGGAGGTGTGAGAATATCTGAAAAAATTCCACGTGATCGGACTCACGGAAACATGGATAGAGGAAGGCAAAAGAGAAAAGTTAAAATATAGACTACCCAAAGAATTCGACTGGAAATGCAGGGCAGCAATGACAGTAAGGAAAAAAGGAAGAGCAAAGGAAAGAATAACAACGGCTGTAAATAAAAAACTAAGAGAAATAGGATATAAAGAAATTAGTGATAATATAGTTGGAGGAAAAATAATATACAATGACAAGACGTATAGGATAATGATGGTTTATAATCAAGATACATAAGGGACATGGAAAAAGATAGAGGAAAGGGTAAACGGAAGAGAAGAGGAAGTGGTGATCATCGGCGGAGACTGGAACGCAAGAACGGGAGAAGAGGCAGGGCCGACAAACGAGGACCTAGGGAAAGAAAAAAACAGACGATCAAAAGATAAGACAATAAATATGGAAGGAAGAACACTGCTAAAGTATCTGGATGAGAGAGGCTGGACGATAATCAATGGCAGAGATAAAGAAGGAGAGGAGCGGACCTATTGGGGAGAGAGGAATCTCAGTAATAGACTATGTGATTGGCAATCAGGAAGCGACAGAAGAATTAATTGACATGAAAGTAGGAAAAAGAACAGAGTCAGGTCCTATGCCGTTAGAAATAGAAATAGGGGGGGGGGGGGGGTCGGAATTACAAAAAAATGAGGAAAAGGAAGAAGAAGAGAAGGAGAAAAGGGAATGGACAAACAAACGCGTGGAACAATATTTGGACGAATGTAAAGACTGGACCTGCAACGGAAGAACAGTAGCGGAAATGTGGACAGAAATCAACAAGAAGATAAACGAAGCAATGCCAAAGAAGAAAGTAAAGATAAGGAGTGGAAAGAGAGAAAAAGAGAGTAAAAGAGAGATGAGAAGGAAGGTGACAAAGTTTATGAAAGGAAAATACAGTAGAGAAGCCCTTATGGAGGAAAAAAAGGCATTCAAACAGAGGTGCAAACAAAGAAAGGAATGACACGAAGAAGAAGAAATGGTGAAAATCAAGAAGATCAAAACAGAACAAGAAGCGTGGAAATACATAAATAAATACAGAAGAAGAAGAGAGAATATAGATGAAGAAATAAGCGAGGAAGAGAAAAAATAAGAGAGAAAAAATCATTTTATGGAAATTTTAGAAGGAACAGAGCACAAAGAGGGCAGGAAAAAAGAGGAGCATCGAGCAGAAGAGAAAATAATGGAGGAGAGAGAAGATAATATATAGAGAAGGAAGAGGTGATCTACAAACTAAGAAACTTGAAGGAGAAGAAAGCAATGGAGGAAAGGCGGGTTAGAAAATGAAGTATGGAAGTATGCACCGAAAGAAGTGGGGAAAGCGTTATGGGTTCTGTTAAGGAAATTATGGAATGGGGTGGGGATACCAGAAGATTGGAAAAAAGGAGTAATATGCCCGATATATAAAAAGAGGGACAAGAGAGCAGCGAAGAGTTACAGAGGAGTAACATTAATGAATACAGCATACAAGATCCGTGCAGGGATACTGCACGATCGACTTAAGGTAGAGATTGAAAACAAACTGAAAGAGAGCCAATTCGGATTCAGAAAAGGAAGACGCGGTATTTGTGATAAACCATATCATGGACAAACAGTTGAGTAGAGAAAAAGAGAAACTATATGTCTGCTTTGCGGACTTAAAAGCGGCGTTCGACAGGCTAAACAGAGAGAAATTGGAGGAGAAAATAAAAAAAATGGGGATTAAAGAAACCTAACCCGAAGGATTAAAGAGATATACGCAGAAACAAAGAATGTGGTGAGAATCAAGGATAAGAACACAAAAGAATCTTAGACAGTGAGGGGAGTCAGACAAGGATGCCCGTTGAGCCCGACGTTATTCAGCATCTACGTGGCGGGGCTGGAAGAAGAATTAAGGAAAGGACAAGGAAAGGACAAGTCGGCGGGGGGGGGGGCATATTGGTAGGAGAAAGGAAGGTATGGTCATTGACATATGCAGACAATATTGTGCTGATGGCTGATAGAGAGGAGGAGCTAAAGGAAATGTTAAAGAGATTCGAAAAATTTTTAAAGGAAACCGAATTGGAACTGAGCACGGAAAAGGTCAAGAGTGTAGTTTTCGAAAAAAAGAAAGAACAAGAGGAGACAAGGAAATGGAAATGGGGAGAGCGAGAATTAGAAGAAGTAGACGAAATAAGATACCTAGGGTACATACTACTGAAAAACGGCAGTGATGAGAAACACATACAAAACAGGAAAAAGAGAGCAACAATAGCAATGAAGAAAACATGGAGCGTGGAAGAAATAATTTCCAAACAGGACTACAAGAGAAGAATGAAGATGTTTGGAACACTGGTAGAGAACGTGGCGCTGTTTGGAGCAGAGGTATGGGGCTGGAACATGGAAGAAAGGCTGGATAGAGTACAAAGAAGATATGTGAAATGGATCTTAGGTTTAGATATGACAACACCGAATTATATATTGATAGAAGAATGTAAACTAACAGAAATCAAAGAAAAAGCATTAGGAAGAGCAGCAAGGTATGAAGGGAAAGCCATAGAGTCAAAAATGGAACTAGTAAAGGAGTGCATAAAGGAAAGAGAGAGAAACTAGGGAAATGACCAAGAAGGGAAGAGAGCAAGAAAGAGAAGGAAGAGACTAGAAGAGATGAGAAATGGAGGGACACAGATCGAAGCAAGGGAAGAGCAAGAAAAGATGACAGTAGACCAAATTATAGAAGAAAGGAGAAAGAGAGAAGCAGAAGAGAGGGGGGAAAGGATAAGGGAATCAAAATATAACAAACATCATAGAAAAATCGCCAAAAAAGAGTTACCAAAATATTTAGAAGGGAGGATTGAAGTAGAAGGACAGAAAAATATTAGCAAGATTCAGATGTGGAAACGAGACCAAAGCAAGGGAATACTAGAAAAGAAGAGGGAGAAAAAAGATGCAAGCTATGTAAAAAGAAAGAAGAGGACCTGAGACACGTAATAGAAGAATGCGAAATAACAGGAAAACCAACGGACACAGAAAAATTACTAAATGAGACTGGAGAAGGACTAATAGAATTGAAAACAATAATGGAGAAGAGAAGGGCAATACAAGACGGGGAGACAATGAAAAAAGGAACGACAATAACGAAGCATAGCAAGGAGGCAAAAGCCCAAAAGTTGCCATAGTTTTAGAGACAGAACATATAATGGAGTGCAATAAAATATAGTGGATAAGAAGGGAGGTAGATATATAAGATAAAAGAGATACACAAGGAAAAGAGTTTAGATAGATATAAGAGAGGAGGTGATAACGCCATAAGACTGATAGAATGTAAAAAGCGTAATAGGCAAACGAGATGTAAAACCGAAAGCTCGTCCAAAGCCGAAAGACACGGATAATAATAATAATAATAATAATAATAATAATAATAATAATAATA